AAAGATCAGAGTTCCAGTTACAAAACAGAAGACTTTCTATGAGTTAGATGTGCCTACGTCTAATCCAGAACGACCAAATCAGACCGAAAATTAATTTTTCAGCAAGGGGAGTTTAAGACGAGAGTTACTTTCCTTGATGCATGAACTTTCAGTGTTAGTTTGACTTTCTATTTTGCAAACTAAGTGGGGGATTGTTAATGTAGTTTGCAAAATAGGAAAGGTTTGCACCTTTTGAAGCACCTTTTCATAGTGAAACTGCATGTTCCTTTGAAAGATTCTATGCGAACAGTTTCTAACAGTTTTCTGAATATTGTGGGTATATAAATCAATGTATTGAACACCAGAAAACTAACTTAAGCATTTTTATTCTTGATTAGACAAATCCAAGAACTTGCTACTTGGTTGTCTAATTAGAATTCATTGTATCCTAGAGTTTTTGCCCAGAAACCAGATTAGCAAAATAGTGGGGGCAATCAAACTTCAAGGAAAGTGATTACACGCCTTGAATTCTTCAAGTTTTGATCCTCATTTATGTAAACTTATTTCTATAGAATTCTCTCTTGAATTTTTCTGGTTTGACTCAATACAGTCTTGTACTTCTATATTACATTTTCCTTCAATAGCTAGCATTCGACAGTTGACCATAAATCCCAATCAGTAAGGTCGTTGCCGATTCAATTCCAAGAGATCGAGCCCATGTCTGATTCCAGAATCTAACCTCACGATTCGAGGGTCTTCATCCCAAAGCTCATGCTTTGAAAAAATGAGGTGGAGATATTGATGCATACAACAGAAGAATGGGACCTACCTATGATTGGTATCAAATGAATACACCATTCCATCTGCAGTACGATCCAAGCATAGGTTGCTTATTTAGGAAACTGATAATCAATCATGCAGAAAAATGGAATCAGGGAACACAAAAAAGGAATCAAATGTGATAGCGACCTCGTCCGTGCAACGTAGTTTGGTCCCTCTCAAGTACCAGGAGCTGTGCGTCTCAAGAAATTTAACTCTGGAGTTAAGGAGACAATGACATGATAGAATTGAAGGGTTGAGTTTCTATTTTTGGCTGGAAGGTTCATAACCTTGGACATTAGTGCTTGTCCCTTCCATCCCATAATTGGCAATGCGACAATTGTCCAAAGCCTGAACAGCTACAACTTTGCATGCAATGAATCCCATCGTTTTCAGTGCACCAAAATTAAGGGAGGAAAGACTACGAGAATTGGCCACCTATCATGTATAGGTGACTCGTTCTTAAGATGCATGGCTAGCTGGGCTATGTGGTCCGTTGGTTATTAATCTGGGCGATAAACTCGTAATACAACAAATTAATTATAATTGATTAATGCTTCCATATTCTAAAATACAAAAAACACTATATTATCTTTACGTGCTTTATGTCATCTATAATCACTATCTTTATGGAAAGCCTGACGCCTGTTTGTGTCAGTTAAGGATCGATCTTAATGTCCCTCTTGCTTCAGAAAGATTTGGCAATAGTTTTCCTCAACCATATTCTGCTGGTAAAGTGGTTGATGTTAGAATCATGTTTCTTTTTTCATAGTACTGAATTAGTAGCATGTTAAGTGTACTCTCACTTAAAATCAGCGAAAGAAGTTAAATAAACTGATTGAATACATTCAACAAGATATTCCAAGCCAGTTTATTTTCCCAGGACATTATTTGGCAACTTCTGATCTAATACCCTGATTTTTTTTCTAATATTCAAGAGGAGATTTCTAACATTACAAAAATAAAATGAAAGAGAAAGGGGAGGATTTGAGAATCAAATCATCGGACATTATATTTACTTGAATAATGTCCTCACCAGCTAAACTAAGCTTGAGGAAATTCTAATACCATGATTGCAATCAATGCTGGTGCTTGTTCTCATATGCATGCACGGCCTGATTTTCATCACCATTCACAAAGTGTGCTTTAGTCATGTCCCACGTAAGAATGTATTATCTAAATTATCATAAGCATGAAACATTGTACGTGTTTAATTAAGATAATCTCATGTTCCAAACGTTGATGTTTGAGGTTTGGAAGTACTGCAGGAAAACAGAAAATGAGACGTAATTCCAAGCGTCGCGTCCGTCTAGCCAATCCCAAGAGGCCATGGATACCAAAATGAGACAATTCCACCCATTATTTTTTAAATTAATTCCAACATGAACATCACTTGAAAACTTTATCAACTAGCCTCCATGGAAAAATTTAAGATCACGCAGCCTTCAAATTGATGTAAGGTTTCTCCATCACGTTGCTAGGAAAGCTGCAAGTAAAGAAAGATTTCGGGTACATTGGTCCCCTTGTTAATCGACCATAGAAGGAGCATTGTCTCTGCACCACTCCCCATCAGTTATTAAAACTGATAAATAAAGCTGGATTTTCTTGTTAAACAAGTGCAAGAAGGGAGATTACATAATTTCTTATTCGTCTTTTCCACCATCAAGTTACCTTACAGAAATGAAGCTATTGTTGAAAAAATTGATTTCTCTTCTATCTAGTGTTCAATCAGCGACAAGTTCTTTTTCCATGCTCAAGATCAGTAAAATTGGATTTGGATAATAAAAGTAAGCATAATAATCTCTTGGACTAACCCTTTTTTTGTTTTTAATCAACTTTAGTTAGTTAATGAGCTTAATCTATTGAAAGTTTACACAAACACCCACATTAGTACAACAATGTTTTGTTTTATTACATTAAATTCCAATTGAAGAGTTGATGCAAAAGCCAGACTTAAAGACGTTCATTCTACAACCTATGCTATTGGCCTGAAGTCCTTATTGATATTACCTTGTGATGGATGACTCAGAACTGCATGCTACTCTCTATTCTTGCTGCTAGCTGTTTCTTTTGTACCAAAATAAAAAATTTACTGTGGAATGTGACCTAGTGTTTAACCGTGCATCATGATTTTACATGTGGAAAATACTTTGTCGGCAAATCCCAATCGAAAAAATTTTCCATATGTATGATCTTGAACCCCCCCCCCCCCTTTTTTTTCAAACCTTAGGAGACTTTCAGCTCAAGTAAGTTCGATTTTTCAAAGAAGTGACTTGGAAAGGTTTGTTTGTGTTTTACATGGACCTCCTCAGTTCTCCAAATTGACAAATCCAATTAAGAGAAAGTGCCATTCTAGATGAGAAAATTGACAGAATGTCAATAGTCCCAACTCCCCATCTATGGAGCTTCATTTACATTTTTAAAATGGACAACACAAGGAATTTGCCTTTGGTGGAAGAAACACAGTTCCCCCTCTAGCACCTCAAAGAAGAAGCACAAATTAATGGAAGTTTAGTAGGATTAGGACCACACTCCTATTCCATTAAATCTCTTTGGGTAGGTTGGTGTTGTTCTACATCTAAAACGACTTGTGGACTCCTGAGGTCCAAATATTTGAATACTCCTTTTCCAATAATTTGAAAGAAAAAAAAAACTATTTGACTTTTGACCCTTTACAACAATTTTGATTTTTGTTCCAACTACATACATCCATGAATTTGTAGCTGTTTACCTTTCTTAACGCATGTTTTGACTCATCCTTGAAAATGAACTTCGTTTGAGACGGAACAAAAGAAAGGAGGAAATTTCGGAATAGAATATTCTCCCTTTCGTGTGGACTCAATTTTTTTTCTATCAAGGGAACTTTCGATGTAATCGTCTTGAGCAAATTTACTTAAATGAATATTGAATCTTATGATTAAAAATTGAAAGAATCTCATTGCATGACAAGTTTGAATGTATGTGTATCAGAAAAAAAGGAAAACAAGATTAGCGAAACAGGGTATAACAAGTTTTTTTTTTTTTTTTGAAAAAAAAATGAGGAAGGCAATTAGACGTAATTAATGTAAAAGAAAGTATCACTTAATTAAGCAGCTTCTTAATCAGGGACAAAAATATTAAGAAAATATGCCATCCAATTATGACCATAGACAGTCCAGTCCTCCAAAAAGAAATTATGACCACAAATGCTCATTATAAGCAGTACTTTGGCTAAACCAAAGGCTAAACTGTAGCTTAAAAAAGACAGACACCACCAAATCCTATTATTAAAAGGAACATATTTGAGTAAATTTTGTACCGTCAGTTGCATTAGTGCTCTGAGCACTCCCAAATTTTATCATGGCTTATGAACTTTATTCTCTCCATCCAATATTGGCGTTGATAAATTTAAATTGCTTATAGTCAAATGCACCCAATATTTTAACTCGATACAGAACAAGCCCATTTGACTTTTTTTTTTTTTTTAAAAAAAATGTATTATAATAATTTGACGTGCGTAAAATAAAAAGGTGCCGAGGTAAAAGAAACAAATGGGCTCCATAATTTGTGACTTGATCATTAGTAACCCATAGAGTTAAAATCCTAAGCCTAAAAGGGTACCGATTGATTTTTGCTTATAAGGTGCACACTGTTGAGTAGGTAGGGGACACCTCATTTTTGTTTGTTTTTTGTTTTTCAGCATTTCCTTTCAATTAAATTGGGGATCCGAAATTGTTCAGCCGTGGGGGCCTTCAATTCCTCTCCGCCGACGCAGGAAGGATAGGGAACTCTTTCCAAAAAGGCAAAATTTGTATGCTTCTGCAACAACCACACCCCATTTCCTGTAAGCTCAGCTTTGCTTTATTCTCAGAGTTAACGTCAGCTTGTAAGAGGGTGATTTAATTTGACAAATCTTCTTGGTTGGTTGGTTGAGAACTTGATCACAACTTCTATGTGTTTTTATTAAACTCTAATCCACATTTATCATTCATTCATTCCCCTTTTAATCGATGATTTCATTTTAAACTGTTGATTACTGGATCGGGACCTCTGTTCAAGAAATTCCAAAGCCTCCTTCATCCACTAATCTTCATCATCCATCTTATGGGATTTGGTTAATTTTCAAAAGTCCCCCCACATTTGTTTGTACAAACAAAATAAAAGACAAAAACAAAAAAAAAAAGAGCAAAAGAAAAAAGATAGGAGGAGAATTTGTCCAGAATTTCTGTATTTATAAAGTTAGGAATATCTGCAACAACGGCCAAAGCTACACCACTCCACCGTCACCGCCACAACCTCCAATTCCACCTCAACCGTCAGAGCCCAGCACACTTTTTGTCAGAAGGCGTCCTGAATATTCCGCCAAAATTGGCCGCCAAATTCTGAAATTAACTCCATCCAATTTAAAAAAGAAAGAAAAAAAAAGCTTTTACACCAAAAAAAAAAAAAGGAAAAGGGAAAAAAGAAATGTAAAATTGAAAACCCAAAACAAAAAAAAAAAAGAAGAAGAAGAAGATGGAGAGCAAATGGTGCTTAACAAACAAGAGAGAGATTGTTGAGGGTTGAGAGCTGGAAACAGCTGGAAAACCTACTCCATCAAGAACCGCTTCACAATCTTCGCGCTTGGTTCCACCACCATTTTTTCCCAAATATCCGACGCTCTCTTGCCGGAATCTGACGTCATCCCCATAGCTGCCCGAAATGCCTCCGTGGCGTCTATTTTCTGTAGGTCCCACCCGGCATCTTTCAGTCGTTGGATCTTCTCCTGTTGCCTCTTCGCCAGCGTACACGTGTTCTCCTTGATCGCCTTCACGGCTTCTTCATATGAGAGTCGCTTTTCCGCCTCCGAACCATCCGCCCCACCACCCAGCCCGACCTTTTTGAAATACCTCTCGAACTCCGGCACCCCAATCGCCTTCCTCAGCCCCGTCCGGCTCGCGGACTCAGACTCAGCGAAACCCTCCCGAGCAAAATACTCCTCCAGCTCCTCGTACATCCCCGAGTCAAGCATCTCGTCAACTCGCTTGTCCAGGTACTCGTTGAGAATGGGCAGTGACACGTCCACCCACAGGAAGCAGCAGCTGTAGCGAAGCTCGGAGGACACTGAGTTTATCGCGCTGGACTCGTCAAAGACGTCGGTCTCCGAGTTAAACCGCTTCGCCAGCAGGGAGTAGATGAAGGAGTTGGACCCGCCGACGATGAGCGGGAGGTTTCGCCTGGAGGTTATCTGTGCAATGGTTTTCGGAGCGAGTTCGCGGAAATCGGACGGGGTGAACTCGGTTTCCGGGTCAAACTCGCCCAGGAAATGATGTGGGACTCCTTTTCGGTCATGCATTGAGATTTTGTTGGTGGCGATGTCCAGGCCACGGTAGACTTGGATTTTATCCGAGTTGACGATCTCGGAGTTGGGAAAGAACCTCGTTCCCAAATCGACCGAGAGCTTTGATTTTCCAGAGCCAGTGGCGCCCATAACGACCACCAGCTTTTTCAGCTTCTGACGGCGGTGAATGGAGGAGGAGGAGTTGTTGGAGTTCATGGCGGTCATGTCGGTTTCTGGCGATGAGGTGGATTTTAGGCTGAAGAAGGAGAAAATAGAGGAGAGTTGGCTAAGACTATGACGAGGACGGTGATTAATAGTAGTGGAGGAAGTACTAGTCTTGATATTAGTAGTTTTTTTGGGTAAAAGCGAGGATAATCTGTTCATAAGGAGGAGGATGTAATGATAAGGGCAAAAAAGAAATAGGGAGTAGGAGATGATTAGTACTAAGGTAGTACGGAAAATAAGGGGGTGGAGGAGCAGCTGCTGTAGTGATGACTGAGAATATTTCTGATATTGTTTCCTAGCTAGGCACATAAAACATACGGGAAACATGAGACGAGGAAAAGAGTGTGAGAGATGAAGGACTGTTAGGACTGGGGTGAAGAACGGAAATGGTTTTGGTGGTGGTACGATGGACGAGTTTGTTATTGGGATGGATGATGAGGAGAGACACTATAAGTATTTATACATGTATATGTATATGTATATATATATGATCGTACGACACCACTATGTGAGCTAGAGTGTGTTTTCTTGTCTTGAAGCTCTTCTCTATTAATTTGATGCTGATCCTGACGAAGAAGAAGAAGAGATAACGTTGTTGAAGTCTTGAGGATGAGGATGAACAGTTGCCGTTTGTTGGCATTAGCCATTAAAGCCTCCTCATGCTCGCTATTGCTTTCGTAATAATCTTTTGCTTCATCTTCGAGTAAATATGATCAAATTTATAGCAGTAATAAAGAGCTTCGGAGTCGTGTAATTAATAGTCAGTTTTACTACCATTCCCTCATGCACTAGACGTAGGAGAGAAAAAAGAAAGGGGAAAAGCCAGTTGCAGGAGGAAATTAGGAATGAAAGAAGCCCAGAAAGCTCTACTTTTATTTATAGGTTTATGCCATGACTACTGAGTGGTAAAGGGTAGCAGGACGGTGTGGCGAGGGTGTCCTGTTCGATAGCGGACAGGAGAAGAAAGGAAGAGTGGGAGAGAGCAGAGAGGAGACTGGAGAGTGAGGGACAGATACTCTCTTGGGTGCGTAGTAGTAGAGGGAGTGGTGTCAAAGCGATGGACTCTCTTGGGTGGGTTATCGTACCAGCCAGAAAACAGAATATAAGCCCCGTTTCGGGCAGGGCTCGTTCGTGGCCAATGGCCAGCTTTGCCATACTCCTGCCTGCGATGCATTTTTTTTCTTTTTAAACTCTTTTTTTTTTTTTTTTAGTGCAAGAGGGAGGTTCTAATACAATTGGGATGGGTACCTGCCCCGAGCGGAGCTAATATTGATATTATTAATTATATATATTATATAATGTATATATAATATAATTGATATTATTAATTATACTAATAATTATACATGTTTACTAATAGATTTTATTAATTAGTTATAATAAATTTACTAATACATTTATACTGAATTTCTAATTACACTTAACACAATAACACTTTTTTCTCAAAAAAAAAAAATTAATGACTTAGTGATTGTATTTGTGTCAAAAGTCAAATCTTGACTACTTTAATTGTATTTGTTTCATCATGTTGGATTGTATTCAAATAACTTTTGTTGAATTGTTTTTATGGGTTTCAATCGTGAAATTACAATGGATAATAAATTGGTAATGTGTTCATACTTTAGCACTTGATTATTTGCTAAAATTTGACTATAATGAAATTATATGACAAATTTTTATTAGCTTCGCAGAGGAAACGGGGTAGGGCTAGACGTGGGGCGAGAGGAGCGGGGGCGCGGGGGAAATTAGTGGGCAGCACCCCGCCCCATTGTCACTCCTACTCGAGAGTTCTCACTTACATTCCCTCTGCCGTGCCACCAAATTCATCTCTACACTCGCCTCTTATGTAGATATTAAATGCTAGTAAAAAAATGATTATGCTTATGTATTCGTACGTAGGTCTTATGTATCACTATAGAAGTTTTTTTTCCATGTATTTAAAATATGAAGTGTTACTGCTTTTCTTTTTCTATTATTTTTTGTCATGCATTTCGAATTCATTTATAGGTAATCTTATTTGCAGTCTCATTATTTGTTTTATCATATAATGTAATAAATAAAAATTAAATGATTAAAACGATAGTGGGAGTGTGATTAACAAAACTAAAAATGCAAATAACATTTTTCTTAATTTATTTAGAAGTTTTATCAATTCTACTTTAGAATGGGGTGCTGTTTTTGAATTCTTGTCATGGTACACCTTACTCCAAAATCGAAGGATTACTTGTCAAAATATCATTTATGCCTTTTTTGGCATAAATAACATTTACTTGTCAAAATAACACTTCTCGAGTTATTTTGTTTTCTTTTTTGCATCTCTAGTTATTTTAATAGCCATCAAGGGGAAAATATCACCTGTGCTTTTTTTTTTTTTTATTTGCTTGTATCCTTTTCATCCCTTCTCTTCTGCTTTAATTGGAAAATAGTAGTAACGAAAAAGCATTAATTCATTGGAATTGTCCATCATAAATGCAATAAACCCTCTTAATTATGATGACGAAATGTTATAAAAAAATTTTAAAAGGCCTAAAATGAGCTAAATTCTCTAAAGCGGGTGAACAACTTCAAGGTTATTGTTAGGACTTAGGCCTCCTAAATAGGAACCCCATTTTTACCATACGGAAAAGAATGATTAGCTATGGATAGAGGAGATTTTCACAATTGACTAGCCCTTTTTTTTTTTTTTTTTTTGGAAGATATCATATGTATACTTATTGAGAAATAGATCAGCTAGTACGACAAAGTTTATACTTAGGTTACATGAATCAATTTTTATACATCTTCACTTATAAACTTTTCACTTACATAAATGGGTATTTCTGGGTATGACGTCATTCTTGATTAACTAGAACTTGAATCATTCTTGATTAATTAGACCTTGAAACATCTTCTTATTCACATTGGTATGGATTTGAGCTCGCTCAAAGTCAGGGAGGGATGAATTGGGTGTTAGAAAATTGTTTCACCCCAGAAGATCAATTCAAAGATATAATCTAAAATTTGGTACTTTCGCCCGCTGTGATATTATTATCAATTTTTTTTTTGGTGGTACTTGTGTACTACAACTTAGCTAGGTTTTTAGTCCGTAACTTCACAACAAAAACAAGGACAATTATGTTAGTCAACTTAAATAAACAAATATATATGGTGATAATTTGTTGTGTCAAACTAAGCTATAATATTTCAAAAAAAAAAAAAACAAGAATATACTGTCTGATTCTCTCTTAATAGGTGCATCCCTGCCTTGAAAATGTTCAGAATCGATTGGGCTGTTGGGAGGAAGAGGGGAGAAAAGTTGATGAAACTCACAAAAAAATGGTAATTGTTTAAGAGTTTAGACAGCCATACCGCCCCTAGAAGGTGGGAGACGTAGAACTCTTGCTGTTTCACGGAAAGGGAATAAAAATTTCAAATAACTGTTTACGTAATTTGGACCATCATAAGTGCTCTTGAATATTCATTTTCCAAAGAGAAGTTCAAAAATAGACCTTTGGATTAATCGAACAGGAAATTGCTATATTATTGTCAAGAAGAATGTTAGCAAATATGTGATGTTTTTTTTTCTTCTAATTAATTCCCTTGTTCTATTTTTTATTGTCTATAAAATTGTGTCACAGCCAGCTTCTATAGATCTTTTAAGATTTGCATTCCATCTACTCAAGGTTAATTTGACTGTTGAAGTTGGTAAAGGAATAAATGGAGAATCATTATTATTGATTTTCTTTTTTTTTTAAAAAAAAAAGACAAGAAATTGAGTCACCATTTAGGAGAAACAAGGAAAAAGAAAATAATTATAACATAATTACTCCCCTATGTATAAACGTTTAAGACATATTCCATAAAAATTTTGATCTGTAACTTTTTTGGTCCCTAACCTATCTCACATTGTAATAAGTTCAAGAGACATGTCGACGAAAGCAACAACTTACGCGAAAAGCCTTAAAAGTCTTTTCTACTTGCAGAAAATGCTTTCGGTCTGCTACTTCATGCGAATTGGAAAAGAAAGACAGAAATGTCAAGGAACAAAAAGGATTCAAATTAAAGCTTTGTTTTCGTTCTTTTTCCCCGCCTTTCGGTGGTTTAAAAGATACAGTTTCTTCATACAAACATTAATGCAATCTCCAGAGAGACCAACCTCTACTTCATTGATTACTGGTAGCATCCCTTCAAACTGTTCAACGAAACTAATAGAGTATTGCTTTACACGCTCGAATGATTAGCAGGAGGCACTTTGTATTTCAAACTTTGATTTGTGAAAATTTTGCTCCCTGGAACTTATTATTCTTCTAGTTTAACTAGATTCCACGATATTCTATGTGTCATTCAATTCCCCCTTCTTGTTTCTTCACTCTTCCACTCCCTCCCTATATACAGATATTTACAGCGCCCCCCCCCCCCCAACAAAAACGAAAAAAAAAAGAAAAAAAGTCTAAACAGCCTCAATAATATAGAACCCCAAAACTCAAGCATCAGTCGTGTATTATGCAACTTATGGATAGCAAAGCAACAGTGTTACGAATCTATATCCATGTCATAGACATCAATGAACACAAAACCCTTGTTTTATTTTCAAGCTTTGGACTTTGAAATAGTAAGTAAATGTAACACAAAACAAGAAAATAGTTTGATATGTATTTTTTTTTTTTTGTGGTCCGATTTTGTCTGAACAATATGGTGGTATGGTACACTATGTTAGAAGTTTGTTTCCCAATTGGCTACAGTGATGTGTAAAATTACCAGTCACAAATTTCTGTTTACATCCCATAAATTTCCAAGGAAAACAGTGACTGTCATTGTCACTTGAGTTCATCCATGATGCAAGTTCTATGTCAATAAATCTTTCTCTTTCAAATAGCACCTTTTTTTCTTTTCTAGTACATTTTAGATTTCTATGCTTGACCCTGATCATCTGAAGTTTCATCCAGTCTATACTTTCGGCTAAAGATCTGAATAAGCATCCTCAGAAGAAGAAAAAGAAATATGGCCTTATGATGGTCCACACCAAACTCCAAAAGCATATTCCATTCAACATGAGGATGATAAGCCAGATTATAAAGTCGGTCACTTTAATCTTCTCATTCAGCCGAGAATCGGATGTAAATTCCTGTACGATTAGGTTCTTAGGAGGATTACGGAAATAATGTTAGAAAAGGTGTGGCCGATCGAAGCCGAAAGATCACAAACGATTTCAATTGGCCGTCATTTTCAGAGATTATGGATTACCATCCTAGGTTTCAATTCACCTACCCAAAAATCCTTGGTTTCAATTCAAAATAGACCGGTTACAGAGGATTGAAACCTCGGTGAAATAGCTTGGTTGGCTACTCTATATCAATAACGATATCTGTTTAGACTGGTGAAATACTTAGAGCATGTTGAAAAGAAAGTATTTGATGTTCAAATTCTATTAAGGAGATATTGTGATATAAATATATCCTTTATCTAGAATAGATGTAATCATGTCTTCTGATCTTTTTTTTTTTTTCAATCAACACATGATCAATAATCAAATCAAAAAGAAATACAACCGTCGTCCAATTCATCATCTATGGTTCATTGGTTAACATCAAGATATGTGTATCTTCCGTGGTAAACAATTTTTTAACAATTTAAACTCCGGGTCTAATAGAAAACAAATGGCGCTTTATTTCAGATTCATATTCTAGGAAATTTAGGCCAATGAAATGGTGTGAATAAGATAAGGAAGTCAACGTCGATGAAAATAATGAAGACCAATTAAAAAAAATTGGTAGTTGGTTGTTTCTGTATATAGACGTAGACAACTGACCACAAAATAAAATTGACTTGGAAATCTATTC